GTGTTAAAGGCATCGTCGCAGGATGGAAGCTGTTCCAAGCAAATCTGCCTTTTGCAATGGACCGATAATGATTTTGTCAGTGCCGAGGGTCTTCAAGGGGTGCTCCAGATGCTTTGGGATTGCACCCCAGGTGCCTATTACTATTGGCACCATCTCTGCTTTCGTTTGCTTCAGTCGTTCTACTTCTATTTGCAGGTCTTTGTATCTTGCGATTTTCTCCAGTTCTTTCTCTTCTCTTCCGCTGTCTCCTGGTATTGCAATGTCCACTATCCAGACCTTTTTGTCTTTCTTATCAACAATTGTTAAGTCTGGGGTGTTGTGTGGCAGGGGCTTGTCTGTTGGAATAGTAATGTTCCAGAGTGCTTTAGCTTCTTCATTTTCGATGACTTTGTCTGTTTTGTGTCCCACCAGTTCTTGCTTGCAGGCAACTGGGATTTCTTGCAGAGATTCCAATGCACCAGTGTTGCTACTTTGTCATGCTGTTGTTTGTAGTCGGTCTCTGCGATCTTCTTGCAGCACCTGACTCGGTGGTCCGCTGTTTCTTCCGCTTCTTTGCAGAGGCGGCATTTGCTGTCTGGGGCTGTCTTCTCAATTCTGGCTTCATATGCATTCGTTCTTAAGGTTTGGTCTTGTGCAGCCAGAATTAGCCCCTCTGTCTCTTTCTTCAACTTTTCTGCTCTTAGCCATTGCCAGGCCTTCTTGTTATCTGCTTTGCCTGCTAGTTTTTTTGTGTATTATTAATATTATTATTATTATTATTTACCCACAACCACACTAAGATATCTGAGATTAGAGAATACAGACGTCCAAAGTAATTCTGCTTTTCTTCTCTCCTCTTCCTCCTTTTCTTCTTCTGAATCCCAACAACATGAAGACACCCTGGAAAGGGGCTCAAAGCAGCATTTGTGCCCTGCTTCGCCCTCCAGCTTCCTTAGGGTTAACAGTCTGAGCTTAGAGAAAAGGCAGATGGCTGAGAGCATCTCTTCCAGCCTTTCCATAAGGAGTCCTGTAGAAAGACCGCTATTGTCCTGAAGCAAGAAAATCACATTTTCCTTACTGGGGGCCAGGCAGGAGATGTCATTGCTGCAGAAGTGATTGTATCCATAGTGGGCCTGATTGTGGTTCATAAATGCAGGAATGGCCGCCGAAATGAAGGGTGAGTGGGTGGGTG